GCCCCCACCCCCTTCATGTGGCCATATGGTGGCTGCCGCACTGTGCTGGCCGGTGCTAGACCAGACCCTGCCTTTGGCCTGTGGTTGGACCAGGCACTGATCATCTGGCCCTCCAGGGAAAAGGGTTGAGCATCACTAGTTTAGTCAATTAAAAAGATTCTATTGCAATGTCCTAACATTCCTAACTTCTTATTTATTCTGGGTATGAGCATTTATGGTATTCTCATTTTAAATACCACAAATGACGGTATTTATAGTTGAAATGGTGATTCATGAAACAGAGATTAGTGTTACTCATGCTGAATAAGATACTTTCACATTTCCTGCAGATTTTTTCCTAATGTCTTTCATCTTGGTGTTGTGTACTATAGCTGCATTTTGACTCAGAATTATATTTCGGTAGCCATGGTGTAAATCTAAGTGTCACGTTTCAAAAACCAAAGGTTTAGGAGTTCATTTTTCCCTTTGTACAGGACTGTCAAAATGGAGGGCTTCTTACTTTTAACTTTCCAAATTACACTGGAATACTTTTTAAGAATTAAATTGCCTATTTTAAAGACCTACATAGACCTGCTCTCCAGCCAATGCAACAGATGGTTCTTTGATTCTCATTACTGCTGTTCTGGAACTTAGACAATATTGTGAAGCTTTACATTACTTCTGAAATTGGATGCCTCCTCTTTGTAAACATTAGCTGATTTACTATCGTCTATAGAGTCTAACATAGGGGTGGGCAATTATTTTGGGCACGGGGCTGCTTACTGAGTTTTGGCAAGCCACTGAGGGCCACATGACAGGCATCCCAGGGCAGATAAATATCACTTTTCTAAATTTTTTAGGGACCCTGCGGGCTGGATAGAATGGCCTGGCGGGCCACATCCGGCCCCCGGGCCGCAGTCTGCCCACCCTGGTCTAACACATTACTTTATGTGAAGCAGAATTCTTTTAATTAATTACTGTGATGTTTTCCTGGAAAAAAAGAAAAGGTGTCTTTAAAACACCATGTTTTTTACAGAATCAACTGTAAAAAAAAAAAAAAGAAGTCAACCTCCAATTTCCTAAAAATGCATTTGAATGGAATTTATTTTTGCATTTTTTAAAGATAAGCATGTAGGTCCTCTGATCTAGAGTTATATTCTAAGCCAATGACAATATTGCAAGTTTTTACTGCTACTTAATTTTCTTATTTGCCAATGTCTGCATGATTTCTCCACATTTTATAGCCACTCATTTTACTATTCTGTTGACTTCTGAAAATATACACATGATCTTTTTTCTGCAAATGGTTAAAATTAAACCTAGCGTACAGCCAAATACATGTTAAAACGCTAAAATTATTGTTTAAAAGTTTTAGAATTAACTTTTAAAAAAGCAGCAATCTTTACAACAATGCTTTAGGAATAGGCTTTATAATTCCTCTGTGGCAGTTCAAGTAAACTTTAAAAAACAATGTCTTTTTTTGAAAGTTCAGATATATTGAACTATTTAGAATGCCCAGAACTGTTATTTTTACTTTTCGATTTTATGTAGTTTATAACTGTACCACAGTGAACGTAACTTGGAACCATAACATGGGAAAAAGAAATAGACAACTACTCTGAATGGTTAAATATCAACTGGCATCAAATGGCATTTTTACAAAACTAAAATATTACTGTACAATGTACAAACCTGTGGGGGAGACAAGGTTTTCATTCACATAACAGGTGAATATTTTTCAGAGAAGAACAGTATATTGAAATATCCATAACTGTTTCAAGACTTTACTAGTCATTAGGATGATGAGCTAGAGGACTGTGGACTTGTACCACTCATTACAATACTGTTTCTGTCAGTTAGGGTTTTCACCACAGGTGTCACTGGGGACTGTAGTACTTTGTGGGAAAGTCTCATTCTGCCATCACTTGGATCACGTCCAAAATATTTCACCTGTTAAGAAGAATTGAAACAGATTTTAGACTGTGGCAAGATTATATTAAATTTCAGTGTAAGAATTAACTGACATTAAAGAAATATATGGTTGAATATGAAAAGACAAGCACAATTATGTATATTTTGTTTAAACACATTGATTTGGTGCTTGTTTCTTCTCCCACTGAAAACCATGTACTTCAAGGATGCTGCATCAGGACTTTCACAAGGATAGACAGCTTTCAAATAGGGTAAATTACAGTCTTTCCTATTAGATAACTACCACATTTACTCAGATATAAGATGAGTTCCCTCCTCTCCCCCAGTCTGCATGGGGGAAAAAGCTCCTTATCTTACAACTGCATATAAGAAAGCTTCTTTAGATGCACTGTCTATCCTTAAACTGCTGCCAAAAGCAGCACATATTCAGTAATGGAAATCAACTACGAAGGTGATTAAAATGTAGCCAATGCCGAGCTTGACTATAAAAAACACAGGGTCCATCTTGGAAACACATACCGATTCTTTTTTTTTGCCAACTCAGTTCCAAATTCTATTGACTGAGCAGAGCTCCACTGTTCAAGTCTGTGTAATGGGAACCTACAAGAGGGCTAGGTTAGTGCAGCCCACCTGAATACGATATATAATAGCGCGCATTACACTCAGTCCCCCTCAGTGCTGAGCTTTTCCAAGTCATGGTGAGCCACTACATCCAATACATTCAACTTTCTGTTCACTCCCACAGCTGAGTTGTGCCTTTCTTTCCCATTTCCAATTATTCCTATTTCTTCACCCATATTATATATCTGTCAAACATCATCAAACAGGGTCCCAAACAGTTCACCCATAATCCCTGCTTTCCTCTCTCTCTGCCAGGTGCAGATTATTAGTGTGGCCCCATCCTCCATGAGGTGAAGCCAGACAAAGCTGCCTTGCACCTTGTCTGCATATAACTTTTTGGAGGATCCCAGGACTCACAACAAGAACATTCAGTTTCAGTCATGAATGGGGCTAATTAACACATGAATCCTTTGTGTAGGGCATGTACTGGAAGTACAGGTTTCCCTCACTTTATGCTGTACATGTGTTCCTGGAAAATAGCACACAACTCAAATTCACATAAAGGGAACCCACAGTTTACAATGTAACCAATAGGGATACGTTCCAAGACCTCAACTGTACTGACCCCCAGGCCCATTTCTACCACTTTTACAAGACAATTTTGGTTAAGACAGTACACACAAGCACAGGGCACTATCACAATGGGGATGGCAACTACAGAAACACGTGTCACAGACAACGAGCGAGGAGCACAGATCCGCACAGGAGACTATATTTTGGTGCGCATCACTCCCACAATGCACTGCACAAAGCAGCTGACTGTGGGCTTCCATCACACCAATCGCACAAAAGTGAATTTACCTTGCATATAACCAATTTTTGGTATAAAAAGGGTCATCGCATAAGAGCAAATTCACATGTACACAGCCTGCATAAAGCGAGGGGAACCTGAACTGTGCTGAGCTATGGGGTCACCATGGCCTGAAATGCTGTTGACTCTGCTAGGGCCCAGCCCAAGGAACTATATGGTAAATCACAAGCCTTTTGGCTTTGGACTAATATTATGCATAGTTTGTATTCTATACAAAGAGGTACAAAAGCTTTGCTTAAAAGTATGTTTGTGATGTACCTGTGCTACAACTTGCATCAGTTAATTCATCCTTTAGTGTTTTAAAATTTGCTCCTCATGTTTATGTGCTCAGGGGGAGCACTGTCTGACAAAAGGGGGAGGAGGAAGGGTCTACAGGGGGAAGCTGTTGGAGGGGCAGAGGGCAAGGGGGCAACCTAATCCCCCCAGGTTTATTTTCCCTGCTGTAGCAGTGGAAAGGGGACAAATCCAAGGTAAACCTCCAAGAATTAGATTCTATACCTTGAAAATTATAACAAATATATACATTTTCAATATATGGAATCTATTTATGGGGAGGGGGTGTTCTCATAAATCAGGGCCATCTTATATTTGAGGAAATATGGTATATTCTTTCTCCAAACAAAACAAGGATGACATGCAAATTACATCATACAAGAAAAGTCTTATACTTTATAACACTTTATAACAAGTGTTATACTTTCAGCTACTGAGAAAAAATATATACCAGTAGTTTGTGAACACTTTCGAGGTAATAAAGTATTTAAATAAATAAATAAATACCTTAATTTCCTGGCCAACCTGTAATCCTAGAGCACTGGGATGGTTAATCTAGGATACAATATTTTAAAAATTAAAATTCTCTCTCAAACTCAGAAAAGAATACAAATTAGTAAGACTAACAGCTCATGTTTAAAAAACAATTCCTACCTAATATAAAATTAGTAAGGCACAATTAGGATGAAGTATTTACAATGTTCAAAATAAACTGGATTCAGCCAGTGTGTCTTACAACAAGCTAATGGGTAAACACCAGAAGTTAACTACCACAAAACCAGAAGCTTTGGAGGCAATATTTTTTCAGCCAATCCCAGTGGAGCTCTAGATCAGACTAAGATGTGAGAATTTTGCCCTAAATATAGAAATACCCTTCTAGTCTATTAGGGATATTCAACATGGCACAAAACTATCTTCTTTCTCAAAACACTGCCTCCCTTCTGGCTGGTTTTTGATGATGGAATACAGCAATGTTCAATAAATAAGCATCTAGACAGTTCAGAGCAGGGTCAAAATGTAAGCAAATTTTTTTTTTCCATGACAACAAATACAGGAAGTATGTTTCTCTGCCAGGTGGGACTGGTGACTGATACTGACCTACTATCCACTGACCCCAAGCTTATTAATTGGGAAGAAAACTACTTCTCTGCCATATACAGTACCTGTAATTTACCTAATTTAAACGTTACACAGCTATGTTTTCCTATATTTAATTGTAATATATTCACCTTTATATCATGTAAAATTCTTTAAATTTAATTTGACATTGTTTTTGTTAAAACTCCTTTGCCAATCTAGCTTCACTTCTATAATACTGATATGCATCTTTTCCCGAATGACTGACCCACATCTCATTTGTTCTTTTTTTCCCCATTACCTTGTTTTTCATTTCCCTTATATCACATCCTCTAGCTACTCATTTCAAGTCTTTTTTCTTCCACCCCCAGTCTCCAATCACTTGCTTCTAACTTCTCAGTAATCACTGCT